TTTGACAATTTCTTATGAAGTTACATATACATTTAACATATAACCCAGCAATCACATTCCTGAGAGAATTGAAGATATATGTCAATACAAATAATTGTACATGAATATTCATAATAGCTAAAAACAAAACAACCTAAAAGTCCATTGATATGATGAATACATGCGAAGTGAATGAATAAACAAATTGTTGTACATTCCTGAAATGGAATACTACTCTGTAAGAATAGAAAGCACACTAGTGATATACATAATAACTTTGGTGAAATTCAAAAGCATTATACTAAATGAAAGAAGCCAGACCAAGAGAATATTTGATATATGAGCATATGCATCATTTAAAAATATGATTTTTTGAAGAAAATATAAATTTCCAAAACTGACTCAATAGGAGATAGAAAAGCATAAGAGAGAAGCTAGGCTGCTTCCTAAAATTTGTTCTCTAGGTGATTTTTCTCTGTTTTCAAGGTACAGATAATCTCTATGTTTTTATAAAGATGGAAAGCTTACTAACTTATTGCATAAAACATTGTTATATTAATTGATACTGTAACCTGACTGTAACAATCAGACAAGACTCATAAGAAAGGAAATAAGACTCATGATTCTTAGGTTGGTTGGTCAAAATAATCACCCAAAATTGTTAATAAAAATGTATATTTCTCAGGCGCCTGGGTGGCTCAGTTGGTTAAGCAACTGCCTTCGTCTCAGGTCATGATCTCAGGGTCCTGGGATCGAGCCCCGCATCGGGCTCCCTGCTCAGCGGGAAGCCTGCTTCTCCCTCCCCCACTCCCCCTGCTAATGTTCCCTCTCTCGCTGTGTGTGTCTCTGTCAAATAAATAAATAAAATCTTTAAAAAAATAAATGTATGTTTCTCATGTGAATTGACTTTTTGATAAGGCAACCAGCAAAATTCAGACTGTGGGAAACCTTGGACAAACAATCTGGTTTCCTTCAAAAACAAAGAAATTGCAAGGGCAAAAAATAGATGGAAAGGAATCTGCAATTAAATGAGATTTAAGATATATAACAACCATTTTTATAAATCTAATTTGGATCCTCATTTGAATAAGCAAACTTTTAAAAATGGATACAGTACTCAATGCCACTGAACAGTCGAAAATGGTTAACATGGTAAATTTTATGGATATTTTATGTATTTTAGAATAGGATTATTTGAAAAATATCTGAATATATTAAGGAATTACTGTTTTTGGTGTGATTGTGCCATGTGAGTTACATTTTTTAAAGTATCCTCATCTTTTGGAGATATGTAATGAAATATTTGCAGATGAAATTATATGCTGTCTTATATTTGCTTCAGAATAGCCCTTGAGGTGAGAAGATAATGGGGGTGTAGATGCAAGAAGATTGGCCATGTGTACATCTCGGGTATCTTTACCTTGTATATGTTAGTAACTGTCCATAATATAAAGTTTAAAAATGCTCATTCCTGAGACCAGCACCAAGAGGTAATATTCAGTAAATTTGGGTTGGATCTCAGGAATATGCCCATCTGTGGAACCTGCTATACTTAAGTGATTAGAATGTCCACATGCCTTAACTTGAAAAACATTGCTTTAGACCAGTCTCGCTTTTGACACATAGATGCCAAAACCTTAAATACCACATTGGCAAATAACACAGTGTATTAAAATAATCACATATAATGAATAATTAGTTATTCAAGGAATGCAAGGATTGTTCAAGGATAGCAGTCCTACTAATGTAATCGTTTGTGTCAGCAGAATTTATTGAGATGATTAATGGGCTCTTTTTGTTAGGTTCTCTTTATCACGTCAGAATCCTTTCCCTCAAGGCTTGGGGACTAGGGAGATAGAGTGAGTGATAGCATAGGAGATTTCAGGGCTGAGTCACAGAAATGCACATAACACTTTCACTCTTGTTCTATTGGCCACAATCCAAGCTCCTGGGCCTAATCCAGTTGCAAGGGAAGCTGGCTAATGTAGTCTTCCCGTGAACCCTGGAAGAGGAAAATACACCAGTGACCGCCCAACCAATCTCTGCCACAGAGATTAAAGAGAGATACTCTATGGGGAAGTTCTCTCACTCCCATATTCCATATCAAAACTCCAACTCTAATTGCCACCAACTTACGGCATTACTTTCATATCTCTGTTGTCACTTTGAATCTAAGGAAAAAGGAACCTGTAGCCTTTCAAAAGTTGTTATTAACAAGGGAAAATTCTGTAGTCATCCTGATAGTGGTGATTTAAAGCAAATTCCTCATTTACAGCCAAAAAAACCAACAAAAAATTTTAATACTTTTTTCTTTAAGTTTTTATTTTTTATCCATTTATTTGATAGAGAGAGAGAGAGAGAAAGCAGGGGAAGGAGGAGAGAGAGAAGCAGCCTCCCCACTGAGTAGGGAGCCCAATATGGGCTCGATCCCAGGACCCTGAGATCATGACCTGAGCCAAAGGCAGACGCTTAACCAACTGAGCCATCCAGGGCACACTTAAGACTTTTTTAAAAGCGGTTTTACATTCACAGCAAAACTGAGTGGAAGGTACAGAGATTTCCAATATACCTCCTGCCCCAGCACATGCATAGTCTCCCCCATTATCAACATCTCCCACCAGAGTGATAGATGTACTATAACTGATGATCCCACATCGATACATCATAATCATCCAAAGTCCAGAGTGTACATTACAATTCATCCTTAGTGTTGTATTTTCTATGAGCTTGGACAAATGCATGACATGTAACCATCATTATAGTATCATACAAAGTATTTTCACTGCCCTAAAAATTCTCTATGGTCTGCCTATTTGCCAGCCTCTACCCCTCCCCCCATCCCTGGCAACCATAATCTTGTCTCCATAGTCTTGCCTTTTCCAGATTGTCATATAGTTGGGGTCATACAGCATGTAGCCTTCTCAGATTGGCTTCTTTCACTTAGTAATATGCATTTAAGGTTCCCCTGTGTCTTTTCATGGCTTGATAGCTCATTTCTTTTTAGCACTGACCAGTACTAATTATCTGGATATACCACAGTTTATCCATTCACTTACTGAAGGACATCTTGATTGCTTCCCAGTTTTGGCAGTGATAAATATTAGAGCTGTTTTAAACACCTGTGTGCAAGTTTCTGTGTAGACATAGTTTTCACTCCTTTGCGTAAATACCAAGGAGCATGACAGCTGGATCATATGGTAAGAGTATGTTTAATTATACAAGAAAACTCCAAACTGTCTTCCAAAAGGTGTACATTTTGTATTCCCACTGCAATGAATGAGAGTTCCTATTACTCCACATCCTCTCAATCATTTGGTGTCAGTGTTCTGGATTTTGGCCCTTTTAATAGATATGTAGTTGTCTCTTGTTTCAGTTCGCATTTCCCTGATGACATGGATGTAGAGCATTTCTTCATACACTTATTTGTCATCAGTATATTCTTTGGTGAGTTGTCTGTTAAGGTCTTTGTCCCATTTCAAAGCAGGTTGTTTGTTTTCTTATTGTTGAGGTTTTAGAGTTATTTGTATATTTTGGGTAATAGTTCTTCACACAATATGTCTTCTGCAAATATTTTCTTCCAGTCTTTGCAAAGGAGATAGGTCCCTACAGACAACCGTTGCTTCAGTGGCTTTCTGATCCCCAGTGTAGGCTGATGGTAGGACACATTGAAACAGTAGGTCCAGATTCCCCAGTTCCTGGACTGCAGCAGAGAAAGCTCCTCCCTTGGCAGACCGGTTTTCAATGTTGTTTTGGGAGTCATTCCTGGTAGCTCAGCCTATAGTCTTCATTTTTACATCACGTGTGTTAAGCACTTAATCCCCCAGATTAAGCCTGTTTAAGATAGCTGGAGGGCTTTCTGTTTTTCTGACTGAATCCCAATTGATATGATTGCTAGGGGAAAAATGCTGGCCGTTGAACATGATGTCCCCTTCTGATGGCAAAACTAGGTGTGACTCTCCCTGCCCAACCCACTGAAATAACAAAGAAAACTGAGGAGAAGGTGCGAGTAGAGGAGGAAGAGAAGTGTTGACCATCACACTATTAAGTAATCACTCTTCTCTACCACTTCTCTTCCTGCAATAAATTTATAACAAGTAATTACACATATTTGCAAAGGCTTTGGACTGAAGGTCAGCTTAGCATGATAGTTAAGAGCATGTAAACAGGGTAATAATAGTACTAACTTGATAAAGTTAAATTAGTTAATATAGTGCACTTAAAACAGTGCTTGGTACCATGGTAAGCACTCAATAAATATTAGCTATTATTATGTATATTCCTTAGTAAGTGTTTAACCTGTGTATGAGAATTTGTTGGCTCAATGTCTAAATAAACTCTCTATAGCTATGATTAAGACCTAGTCTTAAATAAAAATAAATTTAAAAGTCAATAGCTGGGGCGCCTGGGTGGCTCAGTTGGTTAAGCATCTGCCTTTGGCTCAGGTCATGATCCCAGAGTCCTGGGATGGAGCCCTGCATAAGGCTCCCTGCTAAGCAGGGAGTCTGCTTCTTCCTCTGCCCCTCACCCTGCTTGTGCTCTCTCTCCCTCTCATTCTCTCTCTCAAATAAATAAAATATTACAACAACAAAAAGTCAATAGCTAACTCCTTATTCTTTGCAATACCTGTAACACAAATGCCCGTATGAAAAGAGAAATTGGGGGGCGCCTGTGTGGCTCAGTCGGTTAAGTGTCTGTCTTCAGCTCATGTCATGATCCCAGGTCTTGGGATGGAGCCCTGCGTCAGGCTCCCTGCTCAGCGGGGAGTCTGCTTCTCCCTCTCCCTCTGTCTCCTCCCTCCCCCGCTTGTGCTCTCTCTCTGTCTCTCAAATAAATAAATAGAATCTTAAAAAAAAAAAAAGAAAAGAAATTGGCATTATAAGACCATTAATAGTTATTCTATCATTCTTTAAAGTCTCTGATATGTTCTAGCATTACATTCATTGCCCTAAATTGTTACTATATATAGGGATGACCTGAAGACTATGACAATTTTCTTTTTTTTATTTCATTTTTTTAATTAGAGAAAAGCGGTTACAGGAATGGAAAGCTCTTAGGAAAAAACAAAAATTTGGGGAATTAAGAGAAATTTCTGGAAATCAGTACGTGAATGAAGTCACAAATGCAGAAAAAGATGTATCAGTTATAATTCATTTATACAGATCAAGGTAATTACCATCACATTTTTGCAAAATGTTAATATACTAATGTTTTAAGATATTTATGTCTGGTTTTGAGGTTTTATAAAGCATATAACAAAGATTATTCAAGAAAAGAAAGCATATATATATATATATACACACACACACATACATATATACATATATAATGTTAAAAAATAGAATCCAACCAAGTAAATTTGAAGACCTAATTGGTCTTATTAGGTGATTAATGAATCAGGCAGCATCCTCTCTAGGTAGAGGGGAGTTCCAAGGAGTTGTACAAAATGGAAGGTTTTTATAGCAAGGAGGGTGGAACAGGAAGTTATTAGTAAAAGAAAAGAAAGGATTATTCAGGCAAGGTCACCTTCTCTTAGTGGGGGGAATGGGAGGGGAGTTCTTATTAGATGGATCACCTCATCTTCCTTTGGGGAATGGAGAGCTCATGTGACAGATTACCTCATTTGGTACTGACCAGAAAATTCCAGATTGATTGGCTTAAAATATGACTCCTGGAGAGGTTGAAACTGTAATTAAGTCTTTGCTGTCCTGGGAGCAAGTAACTCCACCTTGGGCCTTGTGGCTTTCTTTTTAACATATACATACATGTAGAGAGTAATGGGCTTCAGGGATTAAGTTAGGTTTTTTATTATGTTTTCATGTCTAATTTAAAGAACTTGTCACACCTTTTAGAAAAATAGCATTCTTTCAGGGTGCCTGCCTGACTCAGTCAAAAGAGCATTCAACTCTTGATCTCAGGGTTGTGAGTTTGAGCCCCATGCTGGGTGTAGAGATTACTTAAGTAAATAATCTTTAAAAAAAAAAAAAACCACTCTTTGGCCATTAATTTTTTTTAACTTATTATGGAAATTTCAAATGTTCAAAAAAGTAGAAAGAATGATAACATGAACACCCTAAATACTAGCTGGGTAGATTCAATAATGAACATTTTGCCACTTTTGTATATTTTTATTTGTATGTAGCTATGTGCATGTGTATATATTTGCTGAATCATTTCAAAGTAAATTATACACAGCATAAACCTTTATTCCTGAGTACTTCAGCATGCATCTTCAAAATATAAGGGCATTTTTCTATATAACCATAATACTGTTTTCTCACCTAACAAAATTAGTAATAATTCCAAAATTAATAATAATTGACAAAGGATCCAGTCAAGGGTCATGCAGTGCATTTGGATAGATCATGTCTTTTAAGTCTCTTTTAACAGAACAATTCCCTTGTACTCCCCTGTGCTCCTAAAACAATTTATAGTGCCTACTTTACTAAGCATAACCCAAATGTCCCCAGACCTTACCAGCCTGGTATACGATAATTGGGTAGAGCGGACTTTTCCCCAACTCTGTGCCACAGACACACTGCAAGCTCTGCCTGGGCTCCACGCCAGTCCAGGAACAGAGGCCATGCCAGTTTCCTCCTTGTGTTCATCTCGTTCTCTGAATAAAAAATTTCTTCTCTCTTCAGGTCCTTGCAGAAACTCTGCACAGAGCAATTTATGCAAATTAGAGCCCTGCTGTTTACCAGCTCACCAGTTCCTCACACAAATTTTGAGAGGACACCATGTCCCATTAAAGAAGACATTACTGTTATTGTAACTAAAATGCTTGGAAATTAATTTTTGAGTAGTTTAAAGCCTTAAAAAGAATCATTTCCCATTTTTCCTATTCCACTTATCTGGTTAAACCACTTGGTAAATGCTGCTGATTTTGGTTCCTCACAAGTAAGTATGAGAGACACTGACATTTACAATAATGGGATTTGTGTGTGAGAAATGTATACTGAAGCGATTCACTGAATATCTTTTCTGGGACCCAGTGTGATTAGCAGAATTGATGTTGGTTCTGAATGCCCACATCACAGCACAAAATTAGTTACTTTAATGGTTATTTCTAGAGAAAGGATTAGGTTGGACAAATAATTTTCAAAAGTTCATGAAAGAGATCGAATGTGTTATAGTTTCAGCGAGGCTGTTTCAAACTCTCATTTCCTCTGATGGACTCAAAGAATAAGAATCTTCTAAATAATATTTTAAGTATTTGTGACCCCAGAAGATTTTTTGAGGGGCAATCAAAGATAGTTACCTAAAATATTCGTTTTCTTGACATTAAGAAAATGCATTTATGTGTTGGTATAAAACACACATTTTAAGAAAATTAATCTATAATTAAATTTATAAAACAGAAAATAATTACTTGTGTGACAAATAGTCCTTAGAAAAGTCTAGTTTTTAATAATGGATTGACTCATAACTTTTCATATTGTAGAGTATAACTGTTAAATATATTTGTGTTTCTAGCTGCCTCCTATAAATTTTATAGGAACAAAAGAGGTTTTTTTTTAAGATTTTATTTATTTGAAAGAGAGAAAGAGGGTGTGAGAGAGTATAAGCAGGGGGGAGATGCAGAGGGAGAGGGAGAAGCAGGCTCCCCACTGAGCAGGGAGCCTGAGGCAGGGCTCCAACCCAGGACCCTGGGATCATGACCTGAGCTCAAGGCAGATGCTTAACCGACTGAGCCAACCAGGTGCCCCAAGAATTTGTTTTTTAACTAGGTTCATATGTTCTGTAATTTTAATGTCTTTTTGCCATTAAAATTATAGAACTTGGCCAACTCTTCATCCAAGTGAAGGCTCAGCTCGCCTAGTGTCCCCTAGGGGGATCGAATCACCCTGGGCCAGTGAGCTTAGTGGCTAAGCTTCAGGGCAGCCTTGATTCTGATTTTATTCAGTCTTACACCTGTGCCCAAATTCCAATTTTGGGTTTTTACATCATTCCTATGCCAAATGTATATTTTGAGTCTTGAATACCATAACTAGGCCCTTATCTCATGTTCTGATGCAGAGGTCTCCCTTATATTTTATAGTTCTTCTGGGGTTAAATTCTGGCCCCTGAACCCCAACACCAAATTTGTTCCCTTACCACTTGCTGTCAGATTGTCTTCAGGCAACCACTTTGTCTCTGCACATAATCACATAATCTGTTAAACCATACTCTCTTAATTCTACACTTTTCACTATCACCATCAATGTCCACCTACATTCTGCCATTCACCCCAACTACCCCATAAGTGTCTGTCGTACCACTGACTCAGCTCTCATTCTGACAGTATGATAAAATTCCTTTAAGTTAGATATTAGTGGATTCATTTCACTATTTGAGGAAAATGGAAACTTACAAAGTCAATTTATGTTAATTGCTTTGTGTGGAAAATTGATATTTAAGTTAGGCAGTACATACTTTTCTAATATTAAAGTAGGTCACCCACTAAAATAAAGCAATATCTAGATTTGTAGTAGGTTGTAATTATGAAAATAAATGATGTTACATATTCTAAAATATAAGTTAAATGTATAATGCGTTTAATTTCTTGCTCTATGGATTGATATATAACATTGTCTAGTATTAAGAGGATTTCTGAGGATTTTATAGATGCTGGAGAAGCAAAGGCATATAAAACATCTGTCTATGCCATCAATATAGTAGAGAGAGAGACAACTAGACATAATAATAAAGTCTTTTAGGTGCTACAGTTGAATTCTATACACAGTACTGTAGAAGCAATGAAGAGGGAGTAGTAAGTTTTATGCTTGGAGGAAGGAAGTATGGAACTTTCTACAGAGTATGTAATTCTTGGTCTTGGCCTCAAAAAATAAGATTCCCCAAAGAGGAAGTAGACAGGATGAATGGAGTGTGTTAGATGGAGTGTCCAGCTGAAGAAAGATACAGAAATAAGACGGCATCTTGCTTTGGAGGGCTTTAAGTAATATGGTAGCAGGCAGAGAAGAATGCTAGAGAGACTACAGAGAACCTTGAAAGCTATACTGAAGAGCCCAGACTTTATCCTGAAGGCAGCGAGGAGCCATTGAGGGATTTTAAGCTTGAAGGAAGGGCAGTTGTTACATGGTGAGATTTTCATTTTGAGCTCCCTTTGTCAACAGGATCAAGGATGAATTTGGGAAACCAAGTCTGGAAACAGACCCTTAGGATAATCTGATGAAGCTCAGATAAGAAAGGAAAGAAGTAAGGTAATGGAGAAAAAGAGGAGAGGTTAGGTATGAGATAAGGAAGTAGAAGCAACATGATGTGATTACCGAGTAGATGTTGTAGAGAATAGGGAGATTTTTGGCCTCAGTGCCAAACTAAGAAAATACAGAATTGTATAATATATACAGATATACATTTTTTTTCCTTTGAGGAAGGAGAGGAGATGAAATTCATCAGTGTTGATGTCAGAATGGATAAGATTGCACAGTGAATGTGTCTAGTATGAGAAGAAGGACACAATCACAAAGAACATATACATTTGAGTCATAGAAGAAGGAAGTCAAAGAAATAAAAAGGAAATTAATAGAAAGTGCTATCACAGCAGCTCTTCCTGCCCACGGGTCCTGTCCCTGTGCTTTAATAAAACCACCTTTTTTTTTGCACTGGAGGAAAAAGAAAGTGTAATCAAAAAAGCCAAAAAAAGGGAAAACCTTTCAATAAAGGAAGTGAACGGAACATAGAGGTTATTATTTTCCTTTTTATTTGGGCTATGAACAGGAGAGTAGTTATTTGAAGGAGACACAGAGTTGTAAGGAACTTTTAAAAAATTAACTTAAATATATTTATAGAAAGTGGAGAAGATTGAAAAAAACAGGAAAAGAGAGAGCAAAATAACAAACAGAGAAAGGTCCCATGTGAAATGAGTATGGGATGAAGTAAAGGATTGGCTCTGAAACAGTTTGATAAGGTTGTGAGTGAATGATAGAGAAAAGGAACTAATTGAAGAGTGGATATATTGGGAGTCAAATTGATAGAGAGCAGGAAGAATTGTAGGTTCTGGAGACTTCCAATCAATTTTTTTTAAGTTTATTTATTGTTAGTAATCTCTATACCCAACATGGGGCTCAAACTTATGACCCCAAGATCAAGAGTCACATGCTCCTCCAACTGAGCCAGTCAGGTGCCCCTTAAATTTCTCATGGGGAATAGTTCTGGATAATCGGGAACAAGATGCTGCATGGACTGGGATGTCAAAGAAAAGTGTGGGTGAAGTATGTCAGAGTCAAGAAATTCAAGGAAGTTTGTGGGGCGCCTGGGTTGCTCAGTGGTTAAGTGTCTGTCTTCGGCTCAGGTCATGATCCCAGGATCCTGGGATCGAGCCCCGCATCAGGCTCCCTGCTCGGTGGGAAGCCTGCTTCTCCCTCTCCCACTCCTCCTGCTTGTATTCCCTCTCTCGCTGTCTCTCTCTCTCTGTCAAATAAATAAAATCTTAAAAAAAAAAAAATTCAAGGAAGTTTGAGATGAGACACTTTGGATGTCATAATCTCATGTGGAAATAAGGCCAAGGTGGAAAAGGTGGTGGAAAGAGTTGGAATCCCTTGTTTCAACTCAGAACTGCCAAGGATTCCCTTGAAGTGTGCTGTCTTGTTTTGTTTTTCCTGGGTCCTATAAACTGGGAACTAACTTGATTAAATTGATGCTAAGTCAGATGTAGATAGCCTTAGTTGGGCATCAAATTCCCATGATAGCAAGCTTCACTCCCAGGCTATAATTGTGTTTACAATAAATATGGGAGGACTCTGAAGTTTATCATTACTAAAGGTAACAATAGAGGATGAGAGCTGATAAGCTGTTATATCAGAAGAATATCCAAAGAGGGGAACCTGGGTGGCTCAGTTGGTTAAGCTTCGGGACTCTTGGTTTCCACCCAGGTCTTGATCTTATGGGTCAAGGGATTGGACTCTGCACTCAGCAGGGAGTCTGCTTGAAGATTCTCTTCCTCTGCCCCTCCCACCACTCACACACCCTCTTTCTCTTTCTCAAATAAATAAATTTAAAAAAAACCCATATCCAAAGATACATTTTTTGTCATGGAGATGTTTCACTTACTTCATTAGACTGAGATAAGTAGTCGGCTTTTAAAGATATTGTGTACTGTTTCTCTTTTTAGCATCCCAATGTGTTTGTTGGTTAACCAGCATCTTAGTCTCCTAGCAAGGAAGTTTCCAGAAACTAAATTTGTTAAAGCCATCGTGAATAGCTGTATTCAACACTACCATGACAATTGTTTACCAACAATTTTTGTTTATAAAAATGGTCAGATAGAAGGCAAATTCATTGGAATTATAGAATGTGGAGGGATAAATCTCAAGCTGGAAGGTAAGGATATTATTTTTAAAATGTTTATTTAAAAAAACAGGTGAAAACTTCCATAAATTAACAAGTATCATGAAAGTTTATTTCCATAAAACATAAGGTGTTTTCCCTCCCTTCTAGTCTCTTCTTGTATGCCTCCAGATTAATTTTCCTATAATAATACTCTTATTACAACATCTACTTGCTTAAATCCTTAATGGTTCCTTGTGTGAAATAAGTTAAAAATACAGAATCTTCTGCTTGAAAATTTCAGCCCACCTATCCAACTATATTACTCAATGCTTTCTAGTTTCTGCTCCAGCCAAGCTGTTCTTCAACCACTACTGCAGAAACCCCTTATTCATTTATGCCTTTATTCTTTGTCTCATACTCGTTCCCTGTACCCAAAATACTCTACCATTCTTTATTCTCTCTTTCATACCCTATTCTTTTGTGGTTCTCCTAGGTTTCCATTTCTCTCATTATGTCATTTTGGACCAGTTCATAATCTTGTCTTCCTCTTCTCTACTAAATTTCTATAGCATATTTTCTCTATACAATTTATTTTTCACTTGTCCACGTACTATCTGATTTTGTCAGTTAATTCCCTTTATTTTCTTTTTTTCATAGCACAGTATTTATAATTTTAACTTCTGTAATAATTTTTACTTGCTAACCTACTTCTAAGGCCATATCCTTGATCTAGTCATTTCTTGGAACTGCTTTAATCTATATTATTAAAATCTTCTTCTCACACCATCATGTGAAAGCCATTGAACCTCATCCTTTTAATTAAAAAAATTAATACATAAGAGTACAAACAATAATATAGCAAACATTCATGTAATTGATTACTGCCAAAAATAACAAATGTGAACTTTTATTCATTTGCTTGAGCTATTTGTTTGTTTGTTGTTCAAATAAACATTACAGATATAGTTGAAGTTATGTATAGTTTCATTCCTAGTCCCATTCCCCTTCCTGTCTCCTTACAGGCAATCACTATGATAAATAGCGTATTATCTGGTCCGTGTTTTGTGTGTGTGTGTGGGGGGGGGGGGTTGGTGTTTTTTTGTATATTTAAACAATTTTTTAAATTGTTGTAAAATACACATAATATGAAATTTATCATCTTAACTATTTTTAACTATAGTTACCACGCTGTACATTACATACCCAGGACTTACTTATTTAATAATTTTTAAGTATATAGTTCAGTTGCATTAAGCACATTCACACCGTTGTGCAAGCATCACCACTATCCATCTCTAGAACTCTTTCCATCTTGCGTAACTGCAACTCTATACCACTGAACGATGGCTCCCCATTCCCTTCTCCTCCAGTCTTGGCAAGATTTCTGACTACATGAATTTGACTACACTCAATACCTCATATAAGTGAATCATACAGTATCCTTTTGTGACTGGCTTATTTCACTTAGCATAATGTCCTTAAGTTTCATTCATTTTATAGCATCTGTCAGAATTTTCTTCCTTTTTAAGACTGAATAATATTCCATTTTATGTTTGGACCACATTTTGTTTATCCATTCATCTGTCCATGGACACTTGGGTTGCTTCTACCTTTAGGCTTTTGTAAGTCATGCTGCTATGAACATAGATGTACAAATAATCTGTTCTAGTCCCAGTCTTTTGGGTATATATTTGGAAGTAGAATTGCTGGATCATATAGTAATTCTATTTTAAGTTTTTGAGAAACAGCATACAGTTTTGCATAGTGGCCGCCCCATTTTACACTCCCACCAACAGTGCACAGGAGTGCCAGTTTGTCCATGTCCTCACCAACACTTGTTGTTTTCTCTGTGTGTGTGTGTGTTTTGTATAGTAACAACCCTAATGTATGTGAGGTGTTTTCCCCACTGATTTTTAATGTTTCCTAATGTCATTTTTCATGGTTCCAAAAATGCTTCAATTTATTTCTGAAGCCTTTACTATTTGTCTATCCCTGAATCAATACAGCACTGTGTTTATTACTACAGCTTTATAACAAATCTACAATTGTCTCCAGCAGGGCAAATCTTTTTCAAAATTTAATGTGAATGTTGGAATTAGTCCACTTACATGAAAAATTCTGTTGATTATTAGAATATTTATAGATGATTTGTTGGAGACTTGATATCCAATAACAGTGGATGTTCCAATCCATGAATGAGATATATCTCATCACTTATCTTGGTCTTTTGTTTTCTGTAATTTTCCTCATAGATATATAGATTACATTTTGTAACATATTTTATTATTTTCCTCAGAAGTGTGTTTTGTAATTTGCCTCATAAATGTTCTGTTCATCCATACAGTACTTAGGAATAAGTTTAACAAAATTATGAATTTACAGGGACTGGGGTTTTTGGCCATCAGTTCAGTTCTTTTGGTTTCTCTCTCAGATATATTTTGGTAATTTATATTTTTGTTAAAATTTTCCCGTTGAAGTTTTCACATGTCTTGGCATAACTTTTTCATAGTGTCATAGCCATATTAGAATCTTTACCTTGGTTATATCCCATGTCAATTCTTTATATGAATGGATTTCTTTCCTTTTGTGATCATTTTTGCTGAGGTATGTCTATTAGTTTCTTCAAAGAATGAGCTTTTGATTTTGTCGGTCACCTATACTGATTTTTTCTACTTTTGCTAAGTCTTTTCTTCATTATATTCCTCTTTCAGCTTTTCTTGGGTATACTTTATTGTTCTTTTCCTAGCTTCTTGATTTGAACTTTTAAGCCACTTATTTTCAGTCAATTTAAAATAAACATTTTAGCCATAATTTCTCCCTTTAAGTATAACTTTGTTGTATCCAATATGTGTTTTGATATTGTAGTACTTTCATTGTCACTCAGTTCTAAATATATCCTCATTTACACATTAATTTTATTAGCATCAATTACTATTTCATATAGATGAGGAGTTATTTTCTTTTTCCAAGATTTTTATCTGATTTAATGATGGGTTATTTATTGCAGAACTTGAATGGAAACTAGCAGAAGTTGGAGCAATACAGACTGATTTAGAAGAAAACCCCAAAAAAGGCATTGTAGATGTGATGGTATCTTCAATTAGAAACACTTCTATTTATGATGACACTAATAGTTCAAACAGTGATAATGATGATATCAAATAGAAATATTTAATAAATAGCTTCAAATTATTTACTGAATGTTTTTCACTGCCTTTATAATCAGAGGTCAGAAAATTTATGGATTTATTTTCATATTTATATTAGAATGATAGCTTATATATCATTTCAAAAACTTTCAGGTATTTCAGAATATTTGTTGCCTCCAACCAAACCAGAATTTGTACTGAACCCTTAATATTTTTCTGTGGTTTATCCTCTTTTTGACCCATGTTGGATAAAAGCACCAATATTACAAGTCCTCTGTGTTGCTTACTCCCAAAGAGGCCTATGAATGAATATAATGAAAGATGACCATGAAATTTCATTACACATCAATAAAAAAAATAAAATAAAAAAAAGATGACCATGAAATTTCATTACACATCAATAGATTTTATTTTTATTTTCTTCTTCTTTTTCTTATTATTTTTTTAAGATTTTATTTATTTATTTATTTGACAGAGAGAGAGAGAGAGAGAGAGCGAGAGAGCGCACAAGTAGGCAAGGGAGAGGGAGAAAGCAGGCTCCCGGCTGAGCAGAGAGCCTGATGTGGGGCTTGATCCCACATGACCTGAGCCGAAAGCAGCCACTTAACCGACTGAGCCACCCAGATGCCCCTATTATTATTAATAATTTTTTTAAGTAGGCTCCACACCCCACGTGGGGTTTGAACTCATGACCCTGAGATTGAGTCACATGCTCTACTGACTAAACCAGTCAGGTGCCACTATATCAATAGATTTTAAAATCTATTATTTACGGGCCTTGAGTGAAAATACTTAAATTTATGACCATACATTTTTTCCTGGAAACCTCTTAACCTGTTAAAAAAAAAATTAACCACTCAATAGAAAAATACAATTTAAGGATTCGGTAAAGTACATAAGAAACACCTGCACTCATTATTATTGTTTTTAATAGTTCTGTTATGAAGTTAGAAAATTACAGGGCGCCTGGGTGGCTCAGTTGGTTAAGCTACTGCCTTTGGCTCAGGTCATGATCCTGGAGTCCCTGGGTTGAGTCCTGCATCGGGCTCCCTGCTTGGCAGGGGGTCTGCTTCTCCCTCTGACCCTCCCCCCTCTCATGTACTCGCTCTCTCTCTCATTCTCTCTCTCTCAAATAAATAAATAAAATCTTAAAAAAAGAAAAAGAAAATTACTAAGTACTCTCACTGATGGACTACAGAATCAGAAGCACATGATATGTAAAGTTTTTTTTTGTTACAAGTGTGATTTTTTTATTTTATTTATTTGAGAGAGAGAGAGAATGAGAGAGAAAGAGAGAGCATGAGAAGGGGGAGGGTCAGAAGGATATGCAGACTCCCTGCTGAGCAGAGAGCCTGATTCGGGACTCAATCCCAGGACTCCAGGATCATGACCTGAGCCAAAGGCAGACGCTTAACTGACTGAGCCACCCAGGCATCCAACATGTGAAGTTTCTAAATCAGAAGTGATATACTGTGAGGCTTACCTATATTTTAATATTAATCACAGAGGAATTCATCATGAAAAAGTATACAATATTAGGACATTGCAGAAGACCTATAGGATGTTTTATTTTGGCTTAGTAATGAACAGCACTTTTAGAAAAAGGGGTGGTAAATCCATCATGTAATAGTTCAATAACATTTTATTCTTCTACTTTGTTTGTATTGATGACCCATCATTCTGACTGCAGATGTTCACTGATGTTTGTGAGAGAATCTAGACTACGTTTAAATGATTAAATTACAAAAATAAATTGGCGAGAATTGAGACAGTCAACATGGAGTCAAGAAAAGACTGCTGCTCTTAGGGGCGCCTGGGTGGCTCAGTTGTTAAGCGTCTGCCTTCGGCTCAGGTCATGAGCCCCGCATCGAGCCCGGCATCGAGCCCCGCATCGAGCCCCGCATCGGGCTCCCTGCTCGGCGGGAAGCCTGCTTCTTCCTCTCCCACTCCCCCTGCTTGTGTTCCCTCTCTCGCTGTGTCTCTCTCTGTCTAAAATCTTTAAAAAAAAAAAAAAAAAAAGACTGCTGCTCTTGGGGGTCGGGGGGAGGAATCATAGAGGCGGCAGACAATGAGGAAGTGGGAGAAAGTTAAATACAGATTTGAATACAGTAACCAGGTAAAATAAAACCAAATGATCTAACTTTGCAAAGGATCAGGAAGATCCCTTTCCTCTGAGATAGCTAAGAAGGGTAACATACATCTTGGGATGAAGGGAGGGAAAGTTGAGAGTTGCACAAGGTGGTCTTTTTTTATAGTATTGCACACATATAAGAGAAATAATAACCTATACTGGTTCAACCCCTAAACTTCTCTTTGACAAATGGATGGATATGTTTCTAAGTAGGATAAAAGTTGTGGAAATGAAAAGCCATATTATAAAGTTAAAATGTAACTTTAATACCATGTAATGCATATAAATACAAATATTATCGTATCTCCAGTTAAAACCAAATGCAAAAAGTCCCCCTAATTGTAATTTTTTTAGTAAATACATATTTATTTTCTTTTTTAAAGTTAAAATTAACAGAGGAAGTATCATAGTATTTAAGATACCTGAATAAAAAAGATACATATTTCCCTTCTAACTCTTAACTCAAATCCACCAGGTGGCAGTAAGTTTTTATTCACAAGAACAGTTCATGAAGACTTTAACATTTGTAAAAATCATAAAATTATAGCATGTTTTAAGTGGCTGTGATTCCAGCCAGTCTTTTTCAAACGATGCGTGTGTGCGCAATGCCTAAACACACACATTATTCCGGCAAGTCTTCACACCTGCCATTGCAGGTCAGTGTTACCTCCATAGTTATTTCATTTACACATTCCCATTTCAGTAGGGTATAAATATTCGTCAGAATGCAGAGAAATTATTTAATATTTGTTTTCCAATTTATTGAATGATTTTTATTTAATGGGATACAAACTTAAAATTTTTTTTTAATTGCCAATATTCAACAGTTTTGGACCTATTAAAAATGGATATTTCATATATCCCAACCTAATATTTTTCTCTATTCCTTGCTGCCCAACCATGCAATTCCCTTCCCTACTTTACAGTGCCTTGTTTGTCAAAGTACAGTCCTGGAATTTGCAGCATTCCCAGAGGCTGATTAGAAATGCAGAATCTCAGGCCCCATCCCAGACTAACTGAATTAGAATTTTTGTTTTAATGAGATCCTTAGGTGATTGGGCAGCACTCAATATCAAACCCCTTAAAGATATCTTGTATGCATTCTTTAGCTCTTCCTCCACACTCTTGGTTATTAAGAGTTATCATATTTCACTTTTTGATTTCAGTTTATCTACCTTTTGTACTTTAAAACACATTATTAAGGCTAATGCTTTGATAGGATTATAATCTGCCACCTGCATTCATAATCTAGGATATAAAGATAATCCTAAAATCTTCTTTCTAGCATGTTTTACCTTTCATGTATTCATTCATCCATTCATTCATTCACCTCAGGCACTGAAACAGATGCTGCAACTTCAGTGGTGGACAAAACACATAGTTCTTGCCTCTTGGAGTTTACCATGTGATGGTGGGGATGTTAGTTAATAAGAAAACAAATGTCAAACAAATATACATGTAACTTAAACTTAGTATTATGGAGGAAACAGTGGGCACAATAGGCAGTAACTGTGGGTACTCTGTGTGTGGGGGGGGCAGGGCAGCAGAGAGGTAGGAAAGAGACCTACTTAAAAATCGGGTAGTTAGAACTTTGAGACATGAAGACTGAGGAACCAGCCATGAGAAATGGTAGGAAGGTGGTTCAGGCAAGGGCACAACATGTGCCAATGCCAGAGAATAGAGAGATTAGCAAGGAATTGAAGGAAATTTCTAGGTGAGAGTGTTATGGGAAAAGGAGAAAATGGAGAACATGAGATTGGAGAGATAGCAAGGGTTAGATGAAATGGTATCATGACCATGATTAGGAATTTGAATGAAATGGAAAACAAAAGGGTTTCAAGTAGGAACATGTGATTTCATTCATATTTCCAAAAGAATATTCATGCTGCTCTGTAGAGAAAAGATTGAAGGGGACATGCAAGATATGTGAGACATCCAAGAGGAGACATCAGGTAGGCAACTGGACATACATGTATGGAGCCCAAATGAGAGGTGTAGGCTGGAGTTACAAATTTATGAGTCGTTTCAACCATTCCTAGGTTCCAACAACAAATTGTAAACATCTAAAACCACCATTCCTTACCACACAACCTTTATGTAGCAGTTTATAATTTACATTTCATCATCACAATTCTGAGATGCTTATTCTTCTACCTTTACAGATAAATGCTCTGAAGCTCAGAGAAATTATTTAACTTGTTCAGCATCTCTTAGTTTAGTATTAGCCAGGATTTAAGCCCAGACCTTTGACTACAAAGTCTGTAATACCAACTCATATTATTGTACTCCCCTCTATTTTAAAGGGTCTAGAAACAGTATTAGTAATTGGCTAAACCATGGACATTTCTTAAACAAAACAAAACAAAAAAAACCCCACAGGGGTGCCTGGGTGGCTCAGCTGGTTGGGTGGCTGCCTTCCACTCAGGTCATGATCCCAGGGTCCTGGGATCAAGCCCCACGTCGGGCTCCCTGCTCAGTGGAGAGCCTGCTTCTCCCTCTCCCTCTGCCTGCCACTCTGCCTACTTGTGCTCTGTCAAATAAATAAAAATCTTTAAAAAAATAAAAAAACCCCCACAAACTTTCCTTATATGCCCTATTATACATATCTTAAATTTCCTATGTTCCAATTTACTTTAAACTATAATGGTGAAACTAGTAATGCTAATGAAAGGACGGATAAGAGAGGTATTATGAAAGGACAGACAGGATTTTGTAACTGATGGGACCCAGGAACTAGGGGAAGAATCTGAGCAAGAGACATAAGAATTACACAAAAGGGGATATCATTAATAATAGCCAACACTTAGGAGCAACTGGCTGGCTGAGTCCGTACAGTGTGTGACTCTTGATCTCAGAATGATGAGGTTGAGCCCCACGCTGGGTGTGGAGCCTACTTAAAAAAAATACTAGCCAACACTTACATGGGATCTCTTATGTACCATGTACTATTACTTACACACACACACACGTACACAACTACATCTATTTTCTATACCTTAATTATCCCATGAGATAGGTTTGCTATTATCCTCATTTTACAGATGACAAAAATGAACAGAGAAATAACTTGCTCAAAGTCATGCAAATATTAAGAGGTGGGATTTCAATCCAGGCAGTTTAGTTTCCAATTTTGTACTCTTAACAACTAAGCTATATTGTCTCTATCAAGACATCAGCTAGGAGAATCAGTTTGAAAGAGCGTTGGAAAAGCCCAGTTTAAGTAACAGCAAGGTGTATGAGAAGGAATTAACAGAATATTTAAATTATATATATAAATTGTGTTTAGGCTGGGGAAATAAATTTAGGATCTATGAAACTATGAGACAGAATGTTTTAGGGAAAAGTAGAATCTGGAAGTTGGAAAAGTTATTAGAAACATGATAGTTTTCTTCTTGGAGAGAATATGGGAGGAACAGATAATATGTGAACCAAACTGTGGGAAATGTTCAAGCAGTGGCAGAACACTGAGCAGAGAAACAGGATTATCAGCAGGGCTTGGTAAATGATTAAATACAGAAAGTGAGAGAGGAAGGAGTCAAAGATGAACGTTGAGAGTAGTGACTAAGAGGACAATGGAACCATTAAAAGGGGCAAAGGTATTTTTTGAAGATACGAAGTCTAGATGATGTAGAACTGAGGAGGGATCCACTTTCTCTAGAACAGAATATAAACATCCATGTCATAGGGGAAGCATTCAGACTCTCTGGTCTGGCTGCAACCTACCTTATCGGTTATTATTAACCTTGCCTCCTCTCCTGCTACCAGCATCCCTTAGGATTCATGGTAGCAAGTGACAGAAAACCTCTCACTGGTTTAAACAATAAAACAAATACATGAAAGAACTAATTTAACTGAAATTTCCAGTTATTTAGTCCACATTGGATTCAGGGCATCAAACATGTTTCCAGGCCAAATCTCCATCTTTCAATCTGCTTTTTTCCATGTTACCTTCTTTCTCAGAATAATCCACGAGTGAAGAGATGGCTTTGGGCCTATCCTTCTTCCAGATTTAAATCCATTGTCAAAGACAGAGCACCCTTCTTGGTAAACCCAGCCTAAGGCAGAGGATTAACTCAAATATGCTTTCCCCCTGGAGTCCTGCTGCAGCCACGTGGACCGAGTGAATAGTTTTCCAAAGGAAATTATCAGAATAGGGAATGAATGCTGAACAAAAATGTCTACGAAAATCCCTTCTGCTCTTATAATGGAGTAGCTTAACAAATCCTTCTTTTCCCACTCTTGACAGAAAAATTCTCAGTTCCTCAATTTTGATATTCTTTTTCTCTGAGCATTCACCAAGAATTTTATTATTTTTTAAAGATTTTATTTGTCAGAGAGAGAGAGAGTGCACACAAGCGGGGGGTGGGGGGGCAGGAGGCAGAAGCAGGTTCCCCGCTGAGCAAGGAGCCCCACGTTGGACTCAATCCCAGGACCCTGGGATCATGACCTGAGCCGAAGGCAGACGGTTAACTGAGCCATCCAGGCGTCCCCAGCAAGAATTTTAAATGCTTACTGAGGTGAATGTTACCTCGAAGGGAACAATTTATAGCCCAAACGGTTGTTTATTTTTTTGAAACAAGATGGCTTCTATTTTAAATCCAAAGGACATTCATTAAAACTACTAGGAATTAGGACTGTAGAGACCTCTGTTCCAATCATTTACAACTACTGAAACGTGCTTTCCCATGGGGATCAAGTGTATTTTAAGCATCAAGGAAGTAATTTCCCCTAACGTAAGAAAGTATTCACACATTTTTCTATCAAGGGAAGCCGAGCAAATCAGGTCCTGGTGTATCCCCATTGCTTCATCCCCCATCTTCCACTACACTGTCTCCAAGCCTTTAACCCCAGGTGAAAAACTCCAAAGGAACACATCCTGACCCCCTTTTGCCTCCCTCCTCCAGCCCGGGGCGCATATCCGGTCTCCGCAGGCCCACCCAACCAATAAGAAGCGACTGGAGCCGTGCTCCCTCCAGAGAGAAGGAAAAGATGTCTCGGGACGTCCATCCACCTTCGCAAAAAACCTCTCCCAGCCCCAAGAGAGAAAACACGAGTGATGCCGCTAGATAATGAAAAAAGCCTTCCGCCTGCCAACACCCGGAAAATCTTCCCTGGCGTGCTGGCAAAGCGATTTGCTTTTCAAAGGAGAGAGGGTCCCCTTTCGGGCCCCCGGATGCCTCACCCGGCAAGAAGGTCTCCCTTCTCCTCCTCGCTCCCCGCAATGGGCGAAAGCCAAAGCCGCCCGGACCTAACGCCAACGCTACCCCGACCGACCGTACCCTCCACCCGACCAGGCCCCGCCTCCCCGGCTTTCCAGTAAGGAGTACGGGGAAGGGGGCGCCGGGGAGATCCTGGTTTCCCTCCGCGGATGGCGCAGACGCACGGCCCGAGGGAGCCGGAGTCTCCTCGGCGCCCGGGATCCCCTCCGCGACTCCGCGCTGCCTAACGGGGCAAGTCGCATGCGCACCGGGTTGCGCCGGGGAAAGGGAGAGTGAGGGGAGGGGCAAATTCGGAGCGCCGGCCGTCGGAGCCAGCGGGGGTCACTGACGACGCATGCGCCAGCAGCGAGCGCAATCACAGACTAGGCTTGCGGCTACCGGCTTAAAAAGGAAACCCCCGAGAGCGAGAGCGCGAAGGAAATCTGGGCGCCGACGCGTGCGCGCTCCCGGTGAGTGGCGCCCCACCGGGTGGGCCCGGGGCTTGAAGTCCGCCGGTAGGCTTGCCTCGGCGGCGCATGCGTGCTCCCGGTGCCGGTGGAGGAGGGGAAGGGAAGGGAGGGGGAGCAGCGGGCGGCAGTAGCGGTGAATTTTTTTGGAAGTGGGTGGGGGGGCGCCACTCTCAGCCCCAGGTGCTGCTTGTGCTGGGAGCCGCGGTGGCTCCTGGACGCTCCGGGTTAGTGGTTCCGAGTCACCGCAGCCAGACTCCAGGGTGGGGGAGGGAAGAAGCCGGAGCCGCAGCAAGCCACACGGTGAGGGCGCGGGGAAGGGGAGGGAGCGAGGGGCGGTGTGTGTGTGGGGCCGGGGGGCGGCGGCCGAGGGAGGGGAAGGCGGGAGCTGAAGCCCAAGTTTTGCCTATCGTCCTATGTGCCTTTTCCCGGGAGTTGGGGTGGAGTCGCGCCCTTGTTGAGGGGCCCTCCGGGGCTCCTGGGGTTACCTGCGGGGCAGGGGCGGGATTGGGGTGCACGGAGGGGCCGGTGGCCGGAGCGCGCCTCCGGGCTGGGGCCATTCCCGCGGCCGGGAAAGCCAGAGACGCGGTGCCGAGAGGGCTTTCGCTGGGGACCCGCTAGGCCTTGTGACCCACTTTATTCCTGTCACAACTCGGGCACGTTTGGAGCGGCGCCCAATGGGGCGCCGGGGCGGCCAGCTCCTCCGGGGAACCCCCACCCTCCCGGCGCCCGGCCCGCGCGCCGCGTTCCGCAGTCCGAGCGGCGGCCGCCGCCCGTGGGCTGGTTCCGTTAGTGGTCGTGGTTCCGGGGCTCGGTTCCCGGGGAACGCGCCGCCCCGCGCGCCCAGCTCGGGCGACTGCGCGGGTTCGAGGGCTCGCGGCGCTGCGCCGGGTCTTCCTTCTGGCGACCCGCGCCTCCCCGCTCCCTGTCACCACCGCGGCTGGCTGTTCTAGATCCCTTTCCGCCCGCGAAGCTGGAGTCTGTCCTGGCGCTCTGGCCCCTGGTGTGTAATTTCCAACACGTAGCGCCGCAGAGCCTGTGTTCTTCGAAGTGTTTTCGTTGATGTACAAGTCGTCCTGTTAATAGTCAGCAGGATCCTGAAAGATAAATGCCTCGGCCTCTGACCTGGCGGATGAAAGATCGAATCAGGTGGTCGTTTTCTTGCTATTAGGATGCCACGCTATAGGGCTTCAAGGCTTACTAGCCTTAAACAAACAAACAAACAAACATACAACCAAACCAAAACAATGTTTTCTTTTACAGTGAAAGAAAAGCACAAGAAGAAAGTTTTACAGTCACTGTTGATATGACTATTATGCTGATCCCCCAAATCAAAAAAAAGGTAATTTCACTTGAAGATTGCATTCTAATTTGTAGCTTTTATTTTTGGTGATAAGAGAGTTGTGGTATGTTTGCCCCTTCACCTGCTTCAAAAGCAAACGTTCTGAAAAGGATATAATTTAGCTAGTGAGTTGCTTTCTTGAAAGTTATCCCCTGGGACACCTCAAATCTGATTTGTTTTAAAATCTTGTTGGTGGAAGGAAACTAACTAGGTATTACGTATTTGAACGAACAGAATGTCATTAAAGATTAGCCAGAAGAAGACAGATGAAAGTTGTGGTAGAGCTAGTCATGATCAGCTATGAGAAGAAGAATGAGGAAGCTTTTTGTGCACTGGCATGAAAAGATCTCCAAAATATGTTATAAAGAGGGGAAAAAAAAAAAAAAACCAAGGTGTAGGACAATGTGAATAATGTGCTACTTTATGTGTTAAGAAAGATGTTGGGGAGGAATAAGAATATGAACTTGTGTTTTCTCTTCAATTATAAAGAAACCGGGAGGATACTGGGGAAGTAATAACAGTGGGAGAGAGGGAGAAGTAGTAGCCTGATGAAGGGAGGTGGGAAATGAGATGTTCACTGTATATGTCTTTGTATTAAAAATTTTTTGTGACTATGTTACAGACTCAAACTAGATTAAACAAAAATCCTTCTCTACAAAGTAATTTGCTATGTGGGTTTTGTCTGTCTGCCTGTCTCTGTTCCATTACTTGGGATTTGGGCCATTTTCGGTATGATTTATCTTAATGTTTTTTAGAAAAATGAACTAACATTGAAAGGAAGTTTAAGATAGGCTGGGCTCTTTCTACTTTAATTTTTAAGATGCTGACATCACAGAGTAACTCATAAAGATGCTTAGTTGTATTTTGCTTTGCTAAAATATATAATGGCATTATTTACATTGGGCATTATGGCTGGATTATGCTGTTTTCAGATGCTAGTTTTGTGTCCCCTTTCTTTTTTTAGGAGTCATAGTTGTATAAAATTTTACTTTTTAACCACAAAGTTGTGGTAATTGGAGAATATGAACACCCCATTAAAGTGATGATAGACTTGATTGTCCAGGTAGTTTGCTTTTCAGACTGGGAAACTTTTTTCTCTTAAGGAAATCAGACATGCACCTCAATGAAATGTCAATTTGTAAATATAGTTCTTATGAAAAATTAAAATAAAACTGAGAAGCAGTGTTCTCTTGGTGCAATAAATAAAAACTTTTTATGATTTATGGATGGCTGTAAAAATTGTATTAAGATTTCTTTTTTCTGCTAGCGTAACCTTTTTAATTAGGTTAAAATTGAAAAAGGGCTTTGTTAGAGTGGATGTAATTTTGAGGGGAGGGTACTGAAACTCCCTCTGGTGGCTAATATTGTATAATCAAAGTATTGAACGTTGAGTAGTGGGTGACAGTTGCTATGGGCATTTTTGTTATGTTACCAATATTCCTTTTTATTTTGTAGGATAGGATAATTGCATTATTTCTGTTTGATCTGTAGGTCTATAGTAGCCAAGTTTCTGCAAAATGACATTTATTTTTCATTTGAATTCCATTGGGTTTATTAATCCTTTTTGAAAAAAATAGAATCCCATTTTAGCATTTTAATACGATTTTTAAAATTACAGAAGTAAATTGATGCTCATGAAAGATGAAAACAATAGAATATGTATATAAATGAAAACCTCCTTTCCACACTTAAACTTTTATTTCACATCCCTCCCCAGAGATAACTGCTGTTAACAGTTTAACTTTCTAGATCTTTTTCTGTGCATTTACAAACAGACTTTTTAATATTGAAAATTGAATTGTCTCTTCTGTCACCTCTACTATGGGCTCTGTTACTACTCACGGGACAGGAAAACAACTTGGAGTATGTCAGCAAATTTAACATAGGGTATACTCCTTAGAACATACTCATCTTTTCATTTGTTAGGGGCCAGTCAGCTTGGGGTACATTTACAATTTTCAGTTAGATCGTACTGGTGTGAGATTTATCTGGTTATAGAATGTATTCAGGTGAAAGAGTTGGGTTCCTTGGGTTTTATAGGACTCTTTAGAGTCCTCATTCTAGGGTTTTTGGGTTTTGACCTGGTCTTGCAGACCGCTAGAAACTCCCTAGATTACATCAACCTCTCCAGATCCTCTGAAGGCTGACTCTGTCCTTAACTAAGAGATGCTGATTGACTTAGATGAAATCTAGCCTTTGAAGGGGAAAGGAAGAGAAAAGGCCTTTTTGTCTGGTTTGTGCTTGCTTGACAGCAGACAAGGAGTATGCACACCTTCACCCACCTCCTCTCTCCCCCTGCAAGAGAACACTACCTTTCTAATAATTCTTTTCAGGTGATAGAATGTGCAGAAAGTTCAGAGGATCAATCAAGACTAAATCTTTACTATTTAGTCTTTACTAAGTTATGTGAGATACATAGAAAGATGCAGTACGACTGACCCTGCTTTCTATGGGTCTGAAATCTAGTGTAGTTAAAAGAGCACGTATGTAATGATTATAACACAGGGTAGGAAATGATAGATTCCAGGAGAAAAACATATATAAGGTTTATAAGGGTGAGACTGTTTCCAGCTTTTTATTTTTACAGGCATGGCGTTTGGAGGAAGAGTTTATATCTCAACCTTTTAAATAGTTAAGAAAGGATAGAACAAATTTAGAAAGCTCAAATCTTAGCTTTTAACGAGTAAGTTAAGAGTTAAGTTGTATCATTATAGCAGACATTTATAAGACTAACTGATAGTTGCTTTTTTTGTTTGTTTTTAGAACAGTCTACAGGAAAGAGCCATTTGATGTTTAATTTGATAATTATAATACAACCTGTCTTAGATTTCAGGATTGTTAGAAATATTAGGAAATTTAATTTTCTCAGTTAACTGTTATCTGTCATCTAGTATGTCAGGCAGTGTTAGTATTAAGAGTAAATTGCTTCTTGTTTCCTTTTCTCAAAGTACATATTTAATGTACCCTCTCACCCACTTTTTACTTCTAGTGCTATGTCAATTAAAATATGTTTGCTGCAAATATTTTAAACTATGAAAGCAAACAACATTGTAAAAAATTGAAGTTCCATATTACAGAAAAATTACCTTTTATTGTTTTGTGCCTGTTTCCTTCCAGTTCTTTGCAGATGCATAAATTTTTTTATGTGTCGTTTCTTATAGACACTGTACTAATAAAGATTGCATTTTCCCTTTACCAAGTCTAAAATTCTAGATGGAGTTGTATGAATTACTTAAAGAATAAAATGTCAGAGCAATTTATTTCCAACTAATTAACTATAATTATTATGGCATATTTATAGGTTGCTTTACAACCACTTGTTAGTCATTTATATAGCTCTGTTAGTGTAACTTCCGTGAATTAGGATTCCTGTTTTTCTCCATGTTTTTGGTTATGCAAACTTTAAAGTACCTAAACTCATCCTCTTTAGTGTCGACTCTTTTTGTTACCTGTTTTAGGTGTGTATTTCACAAAGATGTAATTCTGCTTATTATTTTAAGTCTTAGAAATCAGCAAAAAGAAATCACTTTTAAAAAAATAAATTTTTGTGACTTGCTTTTTTGACTTATATTGCTTAGGATGTGACTTACATTTATTTTTCAGAAGTATTTTAATTTCTACAATTATGAGGTCAAATAGTAAGACAGAAATTCCCATCTTTTTTCAGAGTTCACTTTTAATCAGGTACTTTAATTTTTAATTCTCACCCAGAATAGTGGAAAACAAGAATACAGGTTGGTTCATGTTAAGAGGTTTTGTATTTAAAAACAAAACAAAATAAACCACAGATGGGGGCTTTACTAGTAAGGGTTAAGTCATATCTCTAGTTAAGAATTTGTTATTTGTATTAAAATACGGCTTTAATGTAAATAATGTCTTTGTCTTTTTCTTAATCTCTTTCCCCAGTTATAAAAATAGCACATCCCTAACGTAGAAAATTTGGGAGACACGAAAAAGCATGAATTAAAATTTTAACATATCACTGGAAATCCCACTACAAAGAGGTGCCATTGTTAACCTGGAATATCTTCTTCCTGCATTTTGTTTAGCCATTATATAAATATATATGTACTTAAAGACATATGATATTTACAAAATGGGCTCATAATGCATCTACTGTAGTACAAATTATTCTGTTCACTTAACAATGAATCCTGAACATTTTTATGTCAGTATTTTTCTACAACATGATTATTTTTAATGGGTGTGGAGTACTCTCTCATCTATGTGTGGTAATTTACTAACTGATCTTTTTCAGTTGGACACTTAGTCAATTTTTAAAATGGTGTCACTTTTGAATTAGAATTTAAGTAGTCATGTGGATTTAAGTATGGCATGTGTAAATGGGACTCTACAAAAATCAGGAATAGCAAGCTTTCTTTACTTCTATTTTCTAATAATAAAAATGAGATTTTTTTTTCTCCTTTAAAAAAAAGTATTTCAGTAGATTGATACTGAATTTGTATTAGTATCCAGATTAAACCGAACTTTTGTGCTTTTTGTTGAAAAAATATACAATTAGGATATAATTATCTAATAATGATCCATAATAGTGAATCCAAGATTTTTATAATGTTTATTTCTGAAGTATGTTTTACTTTGAATTGTATTAAACTAACTTTGCATTTCATGAGCATAAATCATTTGGATAACAATTTTCTTCTGGATAACAAGCCTTCTAAGTAGGGTGGGGATCTATGAAGCAGTCCATACACACGATTAAAATGAAGTTCAACAGAGAGGGTTTTTTTGTTTGCTCCAAAACACTTCCTTAAAAGGAAAATGTAAATACTAAGAAAGACTCCTTCATCACCCAAAAAATTGACATTAGCTTTATATATGATTTCTGTGACATTTTATTCTACTCCTAGGTATCTGGATCTTCTAGTTTAAGTTGGGGAGAAAAACTAAGTTAAATTACTTTCAAGAGAAAATAGATAAGATCTTACAGACAGTTTAATGCAGTAGTTTTAGTGTGCCTTCTATTGTCTATTTTTGGA